ATAAAACACACACACACACACACACACACACACACACACACACACACACACACACACACACACACATACATACTGTGTGTGTGTGAGAGAGAGAGGGGGGGGGGGAATATCACTCATTCATCACGAAATCTCCAGAATTGTAAAGCCTACAAACTTGAAATTTGGCACAAATTTTGTAGCTGTGCATCATTAGGGGAGCTTCATTATTAAATAGCTTCTGGTAGTTAAACAATGTATATATCGCATTAAGAAAGTATTACGATGTTTTTATTTATTGAGCATTTCATTTGGTCAACTTTTTCAAAGCGCTCGTGGCCATTTCTTAAGTAGCCTATGGTGCGCAGAAATATCGCTTCACTTTATACTATTGTTTGCGAATTCAGAATAGAATAACCCACGTAACAAGGTGCCCTTTTTATGGCCCAAAGCCAGCAATAAAACATTCAGAAGTTAATTACAATCTCATAAATCAAATCAGGGTCTTATGTGAAACCAATTGATATATGAAGTCCCAAACCCAGAGTTCTCCTTCCACACATGCATAACATTACCATCAAAACTCATAGGAGAAATCTTTTGACTGAGCAGAGATCCCAGACTGGATAGAGATAGTAAAAGGTCAGAAATCAAATCTGCAATGCCCTGGCACATGCAAAATTAAAACAAGGGACTTCAGCATCTGTCCACGTAGGTGACAGCACCTTGAAAGCTAAAGGAAATTGGCTAAGCAGGATCAGATCTGGTTAAGCTTTTGAGAAGCAACCGTTAGGAATCCCGGAGGTGCTTTTTCCAGAGCCAACTGGACTTTGTTTTCCCTTGAAGATGTTTCGCTGCTCATCCAAGAAGCTCAGAACTGAAGAAGCCAGAACTGTGGTCATATGGCCAGCCACATGACCACAGAGACGTCTTCAGTTAGTGCTGGCTCTTCAGCTTTGAAATGGAGATGAGCACCGCCCCCTAGAGTCGGGAACGGCTAGCACATATGTGCGAGGGGAACCTTTACCTTTACCTTATTCATCTCCAAAAAAGATGAATACTCCAAAGCAGTATTCATCTCCAAAGGCAAAGAACCAGCGTTGTCTGGAGATATTTCGATAGTCATGTGGCTGGCATGACATCACGGTACAGCACAGAGCGTACGGCAGAACACGGAAGGCTTCTACCTTCCTGCATGCTTATATGCAGTACATATTCATCTTCTTGCATTGGCATACTTTCCAACTGCTAGGTTGGCAGGAGATGGGACAGGTCATGGTAGCTCACTCTGTCCCATGTCTTGTATTGCCAAGCTATTTGGTGATCTAAGACTCTGCGTCTTTACCACTGAGACACAGCATCCAATGGTGGGTTCCGGATCCCATCGCAACCAGTATGCTGCGACGGGGCCGGGCGTCCACCATGTGCATCCACCACTTGCGCATCACCACCCTGTGATGCTCCAGCTGCTTGGTGGAGTGTCACGCAGGCGCCATACCCTGCGTTCACCTGTGCCAATGGCCCGGTTGGGTCAAATACAGGTAAGGAACGCAGGTGGGTGGGTGGGCCCTCCAAAGCACCGTGCCAGAACAGTACCGGCAGGCACCGGTACGCCCATACCAGGGTGTACCGGCTGTAACCCACCACTGACAACGTCCCTCTGAAAAGACAAATGCAAAACAGGCATTAAACTGTTCAGCTTTTTCCATCACCATGTTGCTATCTTCTCCAACCATCAGCCCTAACCTGTGTTTGGTATTCATTGCAAGACTCAGTCCTGATTTTCTCCATTCAGATTTGGGCTATTTCTTGAAATCCTGCTTTTGGGATATGCCCCTCTTCGCTCATTCCCAGCTGCGGTATTGGCTACTTGTAAAGTAGAACAGCAGCTCCCAATTTCTGCTTTGGAGATGACTTCCTGTTTGCATGAACTGGACCTTTGGAGTGCTCACCCTGCTTGAGCTGCCTCCCATCCTGCAGTGCATCTTAGTTAGAAATCAACATTTCCCGTATTCCCTCCGTTTAATTTGGCAAGCANAAAGGAAACAATTTAAAAAATGAAGTGTGTGTGTGTGCTCTCTCTCTCTCTCTCTCTCTGTGTGTGTGTGTGTGTGTGTTGGAGGGAATTTAATTCTACTCAAATACCCAGCAGACCTAAAATTGGTTCTATAGGTGATAAAGTTTGGGTGATGGAAAGTCTTGTTAAATTAGAGAAGGGGAAAAGATCCTTGCAGAGTTAGGGATAGTTGCCAAGTAGTTTGCAAAGGGATTTTAGGTCCTTGCATTTTATTGCTTGGGATTATGTGATGTGCTTATCACAATAATTTGATTTTGTATTTTCCATTCTGGGTAATGCTGGAAGCCTCTAAAGGTATTAAGCAATTTAAAATTTACTGTCACATATTCACACAAAGGGACCTTGAATAATCAAAAGTAGCAAAGAATCAACAGTAGCTACTTGTTCCTATGTCACCACTATTAGGGGAAAAAATGCATGCCTTAGTGAAGTTCAATATACTGCAGCATCAACTAATTCAGGAACCAGAGCTTTGATTATGAAGGAAAAGTTTGGTGGATCTGTAGGATAATTGTTACTTACATCAATCTATCCAACAACAACCTGTACTGTCTGAATTATAGCATCTTATACCCGTGATGGCGAACCTATGGCATGTGTGCCACAGGTGGCACATGGAGCTATATTTGCTGGCACATGAGCTGTCTGGTCTGATGCACATGTGCATGCTGGCCAGCTGATTTTCGGCCCTCCAGAGGGCTGGGCTGGGGAGGCCATTTTTGCTGTCCCCAGGCTTCAAGAAAGCCTCCGGAGCCTGGGGAGGGCAAAAAACAGGCCCAACGGGCCAACCGGAAGTTTGTTCCCAAACTTCGGGTTGGCTCGTTGGTCCATTTTTCACTCCCCCCCCCAGCCCTCAGGAAAGCCTCCGGAGCCTGAGGAAGGCAAAAACCTCTCCCCACGTGGGGTGGGGGTCATGTGTGCATGCGCAGGTGGGCAGGACACATTGGATTATGGGAGTGGGCACTCACACCTATGTGATAGCATGTGCGCACACAATTTTGGGACGCCTTTACAAAAAGGTTTGCCATCACTGTCTTATACCAATGTACACCATGTCTTCTCTTTTTTTACTGGCTATAATAACAGAATCTTACAAGTCTTATTAAGCTGTTACCTCCTCCTCTTTCTTATAATTAAAAAAGTAAATTAGGGAGGGGGTCTGTTTGAGTCACTTCCAAATGTTATCTGGCTGTTCAAACTTAATAAAAAATTAATAATGTATCAGCTCCTGTTGCCTGGGCAACAGCTTCTGCATATGTTTATCAGGGTCACCTGAAAAGGCCAAGGAACCAGAGATCCTATTGCTGATGCACACTGAATAACAGAAAATTGAAAACACTAAAAGAAACCTGTAAGTGCTTTATCAATTATACAAAGGGCCTCAATTGTATCAACTATTTCAAATTGTGGAATGTCCTTAAGGAAAAATACAGGTATGTTATAGAATTTTATTGTCCTTATGCAAAGCCTACATACACAGAGGAAGCCACAATCCAAGTGAAATGTAGCAGAACAGACTGACTCAATATCAGCAGAAGAGTGAGAAAAGACTGTATATTCTTTCCTTATTTGTTCAATATGCTGGATATACAGGCTAGACCCAATAAATGTCAGCTGATGGGAACAAGGAGAGTGGCTGTTCTGCCAGAGATTTTGCCCTCTGGATTATTTCATTTGATGCTTTTTTGATAATGAATGCCACCCGGAATCATTTGTTTGAGATGAGTGGCTATAGAAATCAAATAAATAAAGTAAAATAAGTAAAACTATTGGGAGAATAATTTGGCTTAGAAGTAGATGACTATGGTTTTTAAATTGGATAAAGGATGCAGTGGCTAAGACGCTGAGCTTTTTGATCAAAAAGGTCAGCAGTTCGGCGGTTTGAATCCCTAGTGGCGCGAAATGGAATGAGCTCCTGTTACTTGTCCCAGCTTCTGCCAACCGAGCAGTTTGAAAGCATGTAAAAATGCAAGTAGAAAAAATAGGAACCACATTTGGTGGGAAGGTAACAGTGCTCCATGCACCTATGGGGTTTAGTCATGCAGGCCACATGACCATGGAGATGTCTTTGGACAACACTGGCTGTTCGGCTTAGAAACAGAGATGAGCTGCCCATAAAGTTGAGAACGACTAGTACATATATGCGAGGGGAACCTTTATCTTTAACCCCTAATTGATAATGGTGTCATCACTAGGGCTGAAGACACTACATGATAATTGAAAATGGTAATGATATACAAATTATGGTAATGAGAATACTGAAAAAAATGGGAAATTAAATATAAATAAGACATAACTAATGTCGACATATGCAGCAACCCTCCTTAGAATCAACAATGAAGATAGTTGTAGATAGCTTCTGCTTTTTAGGATCAATCACAAATAATAAAGGAATCAGCAATCCAGTTATATGCCACAGTAGCCACAAAAGCCTTGGAAAAGGACCTGTATCTACAACAATTATAATTATAATATTTACTATAATAATAGAAATATAATTATTCTGTCAATAGTTTCAGAATATGGAACTGAAAGTAGAGTATTGAGAAGCAGGATGGAAAAACTATTGATGCTTTTAAATGTTGATGTTGGAGAAGGTTGCAAATATGATGAATAGCCAAGAAAGCAAACAAATAGATATTGCAGAAAGCAATCCAGATTTCTCACTCCAGGCACAAATGATCAAGCTCAAATTGTCATATTTTAGACACATGATATGAAGACCTAATGTGCAATGTGGAAAAAGCAAAAGCAAATAAATTGGATGGACTCAATTATAGCAGTAATTATGAGTACAGCATTAGAAAAATCACAAAGGCCAAGTTGGCAACAGATTATCCTAGAGAGTGTCTATCTATGTGGTTCCTTACCACCCACACAATTATGGCACGTCACATAATCAAATCGTTCATTAGTCTGTTTGAATTTAATTTGATTTAATGGCATTAGAGCTGCATTTGCATCCTAAGCTATCCTGTGGTAAGTAAATAATGTAGAAGCACTGCTCCAACTGGCCTTCCTGTTGTAGATTAACCTAAAGCATGCCACAAAATCCTAATATGTTTAATGCAATCCAAAATAAGAGATGTATAAGACACTTGCATTGTAACAAAACATGGGTGAGTTTAATTATCTTATTGTGTAAATGAGTAGATATAGTTACAACAACCAGGCATAAACACACACACAGAGAAAAAAACTGGGAGTAGGTTCAGCCCAGCAGGCCTGAAAAAAATGTAACACTCTGAAAAGAAGTGCTTCACACATTCAAACCAGAGGTGGTATTCTACTGGTTCACCCCAGTTCGGGTGAACTGGTAGCGGCAGTGGTGGGAGGCTCCGCCCACCTGCCCAGATGTCATCACAGATGCTCTGCACATACACAGAAGCACCGTGTACATGTGCGCTCCTGGTTCCAAACCGGTAGTGAAGGTAAGAGGATTTCGGTGCATTTATTATAAATTTCCACGATATTTAGTTTTTCATTTTCTAGATTTAAGAAGTGATACATTATCATTCCCAACACCACCCTTAGGTTTTTAAGAACATAACTAACACTGAGAGAAAAATGACAATTACAATATTGTATAATTACATTAGGCAATAATTCATTCCAGAGTTGTAGCACAATTAGTGTTCAGTAACTTTACAAATTGGTATTTTTTTTTAACTTTAGTAATTGTTTTTATCTTTTCCAGTTCTTTGGCTTATCACTAGAACTAGAATGCACCTATCGATGATGCATACTAGTTCTAGTGATAAATTCTTTTTTAAAAATAAGTAAATAAAACAGGTCAAAGAAATATATCTACATGCATACAACCCTTCTGTGAACTCTTTTCATAAAAGAGACAAAGCTCCCTCGGTTGACATCAAAAAAGAACCAGAAACGTCCTCTTTTAATCTATCCTTTATAATAGGTTTCCTGTTCAAAAGCAAAATACTTTGCTAGAATTAAGCTTCTTCATAATAAAACTTAATAATCTAGGCACTGAGCAACTTGTTCTTTGGAATGACTACTGCCAGTTGTGGTTGGCACAAGAGCAGTCTCCTGTCTTTTGAATAATGCTGCTGTTGTATTTTCACCTACAAGCAAAACTTTCTACTGAGCCAGCATTAAAGTATAACTCATCTCCTGGGAAGATTACCCCTGTCTGCATGGTACAACATCAAGCAGAGTCCAAACATTTTACAGGACTTAGTATGTAAACTCTCAGCAAAAATAAATAAATCAAAATATCTATGCCCTTTTATTCATGCGGGGTAAAATCTCTTACCTTTAGTAGCAATTCGAACACACTGAGTTTTGGTCTCCTGTTCAAAAAAATAAATAAATACATTTAGTCCAAATGTATTAGTATCACCAGTATATCATCATGGCAAATTCAAAACAGTAGTTTAATACATTCTCTTGTGTACAAATTATAGGATGAGGAAGATGTGAGTAATAGATGTTAAACTAAATGCAAAGGCAAAATGAGATTTCACTAATCTGTATTTATATTTTTTCCAAGTATTACTGGATCATCCAAGTTTGCTTGCATATTCAGAGAATGGATTTTAGGTAAGCAAAGCGCATCTATCTAATCTCTCTCTATATATATATTGATTCTAACACAATATATAATCTCTGCAGCAAGACAATCCCACTCTCATCTTAACTGCTAAAGAATGGATGATGGGTAGGAAACTAGCAAGGCCAACTTTTAACCCAAGTCTTAGTTGGTTTTTGGTTTCTGTTCCTTTGAGTCAGGTGACTGGTGGGAAAAGTTCCTCCAGTTATCTTGGCAAGATTTTCACAAGTGGGCTTCCATTTTCTCCTTCTTGGGACTGAGAAGGGACTGGCCCAAGGTCACTCAACTGACATTGTATCTAAAGTGAGACTAGAATTCACAGTCTTCTGATATCTAACCTTATGTGTTATCTACTATATCAAGCTGGCTCGCCTTAGCTGTTAAAATACAAAGATATGATTTGAATATCATCCTGTTGATCTAGCAAAATGTAGGCCACATAAATAGGAAGATAGATACTTATGACACAATTAATTCAGTGTAATATATAAAACTAAATATCCAATTTTACATTCCCATCAAATGTGGAAGAAAGTTCCTTATATTCATATTTCCATCCCTACTTACAAATCTCTAATCCAAGTTTAAAATTAAAAAATGAAGGGCCGCATACTATCTAGAAAGGAATTTGTAAAATATTTTTTTCCACTAAAGTTCAGAGATAAAGAAAATGTTTTGTATCCAGAGGATTCAAAGGTTAATTCCTGCCACCTCAATTGAAGACTGGGAGTAAATCGTACCATATGTGGAAACCAGTTTCACAATTCTATTAAACCAAACCATGGTTTCCTTATTTTGGCTTAGCATGCTATGGGAACCCTACCAACTGTATTTTATTCGAAGAACCATGGCTACACAGTTCATTGGTTAGCATGAATATGAACCCAGCCTTTATATTATTAGGCATCTTTCCACACACATGTATGCTTCTATATTGACATCAATATGGTCTCCAAAATTTTATATTGTCTTCTGTTTTTCATCTGCTGATCTTCTTCTCAATTGAACTTACTAGTTAATTTGATCTTGTCGCTTTCTCTCTATGTGAGAATACATCACAAATTTTATGGTCATTAATTTAAGCACATACTAGCTTCAGGAAAATCCTCCAGCTTCACCCAGCCCATTGTAGGATGGTTTTAAAAATGATGCCATTTTCCCATCTTGCCACAATATTCAGCTAATTTTTATAATTACAACATTAGGCAAGAATTCATTCTAGGGGTTTGATGGTAAAATCACTGAAGCTGAAACATCTATATTATTAATTGCAGCCAAAATGCAAATGGCAGGGTAGGAAAATCCGTCTTTCTAAAGCAGATTAATTATTTCAAAGTCTACCAATTTAACAGCAAATCCTCCCTTGTTCCCCCCTCATCTTTTCCCAACCATCTGCTACTGGGACATCATAAGAAGGCAACCAAGGTTTTATACAAGGCCATACTTAATTTGGAAATTGCAGCCCTAAATATCTCGGCTACTATCCCAAATGGTGTTTGTCTCATATTTGGGTTTATAAGAGAAAATGATTCAATGGCATCAGCATGAGGGTTATCATGTCATGTTGCTTTTCACACCTACAACTGCCAACAGTACTGAACTTCCTGTTGCTTTGTTCTCTATTGATATACATACTGAAATAGAAGCACTACTCTGTGGCACCAAAATTTCAAACAGTGAGGAAATTGCAGTAGGAACCTCTGGTCATACCTTCAACACCTGCACAGCAGTCAAGTAATTTTCAACTTGTACATTGAGTTTTTGTACAAACAAGGAGTACACCTAGATCATATTTCAAATAAATGGCTTTTAAAAATATACTCTTTTTATTTGAAGTATGGGATGAAGGCTATGAAAACTTGGTCATTTTGTACGAGCCTGCCAAGCAACCTAGGTTTTCTTTTTCCAAAACCAATTTAATATTTTGAACTATGAAAGAGAGATGAAGGGAATTATTTGTTTTGAAAATGGAAAATGATAATATGGCTAAACTAATTTTATTGAAACCACTACTCTAAATATTTGGGACAGAGTATTTTCCATTAAAAATGTTGTATGTGGAATTTGTGGATTACAGAAACTTTTTTTGTTTTAGGAAAAAAAACAGATTAAGGACTAAGACCTGAGAATAAAAAAATCACACTAATTGAAATTATAATTATAATTATACAGAATGAGATATCCTGCTTCTTCTGACAGTTTTAAGATACTACTAAGGTAAAAGAGATTGTCAATTTAAATTGTTCCCCTCCTTCCTTGGAGAGAGAGACATACACACATGATATTCTTTCAGGCACTAGAATATCTCGGACTATATCAAAATATGAAACCAAATGTTCAAATTGGATATTTTTTAGTTTTTCTTTAAATGTTTTATAGATCTTTGGCCATACTGAAACTTTTCTTACATTGTTGTTAGTACTCCATTTTCAAGGAAAGTAGCATACATTTTTTAACCCATAACAAATATTCTTGTTATTCAACAATAACTTTTAATGTCAAGTTGTTTACCACACATGGCAGGTAAGAAACAAGAAAAAGAGTCAAAATTCCCATGCTGTTGTTGAGATCTCTCTCTTGATCATGGTCTTAGTCTTACAGTATTGGAAAAACAAAAGATTTAGAGTCAGACTGTAGTTGTGATTGATCAAAATTGAATGAATGAATGCTTGGATGAACCAATGAACAATCAAACAAACAAACAAGGAAAACCTGTATGCACTTACCTTTTCAACACTGCTCATGGCTTGAAAATAGATATTATACCCTTTCCGAGGCACCAAAGGTGGGTTCCAGAAGCCTTGGTAAGTTCTATTGTCACCAACTGTGAAAGCTGCTGCTTCTGGAAGATTGCCAGGAGGCAATTCTGCAGCAAAATAATAGGGCGAGCCATTGTTCAGGGCATTTTGATATGTGACAGGAATCTGGTAGCAATCCATTGCACCGGTTTCTCGTTTGGTCCGATGAGGATGTAGCTCTTCAACAACAATCTGATAGGCGCTGTTCAAGATCAAGAGAGGAAGAATGCTAGAATGAGTGAGTACATGACTATATAGCCATTGTGCAGCATGTTTGGTTTAAAAAGCTACAGAAAAGAGATAATAAGATGGGAAATTCAGAACACTGTGACTATGATTTGGCCATGCTGGTTGAGGCAGATCAACATGTGGACTTTGCACCCATTCAGAACTGATCTGTATTCATNAAGGGAAGGGAAGGGAAGGGAAAGGGAGATTTCTGATAGTAACTTCAAGCTTTCTAGGGAAGTTGGAAGTCACTCCTGCTCCTGTTGATTTTTTTGCCAGTCCACGATCATTCCTTTTCTCTATTTAGGTGAAAAATATCTTTGAAAGGATAACCCAAATTGTCTGGTGATATTTAATATTTGCTTCCCGCCCCACAACAGCTGCACATGAGGCATTATAATGTCTGTTTTCAATCTACTTGCTCTCTCATTGTTAGCATTTTTGTGAAAAGAACTACTTTTTTTTTTCACCAGAGTTATTTAAGAACTTTCAGATGGATACTAGCTTGCTTCACAAATGTGACTTTTTTCCAGCTTGTCAGTGACACATTAAATAATTCATTTTTTTCTCACTGCTATTTGTCTTAGTGTCCCTTCCTGAAAATAACAATCCTGGAGAAATTTTGAAGGCTTCATCCAAGATTTTGCAGGCCATGGCCAGATTTGGAATTGTTAGTCATAGCAGTTTACTCTTCCTTTGTGCAAAGTTATGTGTGGTGGGTTTGTTCTGTTTATCTGGGAAAGCTAAAAGAAGCTTTCTTTCATCTAACAGATATCTAGACTTTGTGATACTTTTGGTGGCTTTCTTTACATATTACATCCAATGTTAATTGTGATTTTAACTAACTACTAAAATGGAAAAATCTTAACTTATTTTAGATGTTAATAAAATCAATGCCTGTTGTTTCATTCAGTCAAAGCAAAGCTGAATGTTTGAGTCATACACTTCCCAATGCTTTATTACTTCATTTTATCTTAAAATACTTATCAAGTCTTCAGAGACACAAAAATAATTGCTCATGCAGAAATCTCTACAGCTCTCTAGCATTAGAAGCCTTAAAAAAAACCTGGATTTTGAAAGATATTTTTGATAAGGAAGATCCATTATAATATTTTGTTTTCATCCTCTTCACCTAGAAGCAAAAAAAAACCTTTGCTAATCCTGGTACAGACATAGTTAATTCTCTCTCATTAAGACAAGTAGAAAGGAAACAATTTAAAAAATGAAGTGTGTGTGTGTGCGCTCTCTCTCTCTCTCTCTCTGTGTGTGTGTGTGTGTGTGTGTGTGTGTGTGTGTGTGTGTGTGTGTGTGTGTGTGTG